TCTCGAAAGTATGTGTTCCGCAAACTTTCCATGACTATAACGTCTGGTAGTGGACCAGTAAGTAAACTCTTGACGTTTCCGAATGTCATTCAATAGTAATTACACATTCTTGGTGCATCGTGGGAAAAGCTATTTAAACTTGACAGCCGGATGGTCTCACATATAGATTTAGACGCAGGTACCACTAGAATATTCACCAGGAAATTTTCTCTCTTCAGTGTATGTTCTTGATACCTGGGAACCTCGGAATTACGGAGAGATCTCCTGAGGTCTCAGAATGCTAGCCTAACAGTGCAATTGCTAGATGAACTGGTGACAATTCAGCCAGGAACCGAACAATTTCGAGGAACTTTGAAGCCCAGTCAAAGAAGCACGATAGCGCGTGATTATTACTGTCTTTCAGGGGTCAACTCTCAGTACAACCAGTATAACCGACCAACTCTGTCCCATCTTGAATTTTCGGACGAGGGAGAAGACAGTTCTCAGACCGCAAAGTGTTTTACACTGTGGCTGTGCTAAAATCACTTTTAAGAGGGACGAAAACTATCGCCTATACTGCCTATCCAATGCTCAACCAGGTGTTCAGTCTCTGCTTAATTGTGTTCAACCGACTTCGTGGATGCTGCGAATTTTGTATGGAAGGTGTGCAGATTGATCCGGAACGCATTCGCATGTCAGAAGTGGATTTGGGGCACCCTTTCGGTGCCTAGCTGCCATATCACCCTAAGGAAGCATAAGAGCATAAGATACTGTCACGTTACCCGAACCTAAACAGGACCAGTCGAGATGCAGAGGTCGGGCTTGAGCCGCTGAGCTACTCCGAGCTCAACGTATCCTCTACGACACGATACAGATTTAAATATCCCTACCCCTTTAGGTGTATGAAGCTACAGTACGGACGGTTTTGTTGTATGGCTGTGAGATTTGGCCTATTCGAGTAGCGGAACAAAATAGTCTTCAGGTGTTCGACAATCGTTGTCTCACAACCATAGCTCGTGTGGGTTCGTGTCGGCGAATCCGTAACGAAGCAGTTAGAAAGCCCGTTTTCGGTTGTGCAACGGGTACTTCCATTGACGAATGTCAGGCACCAGAAGCTGCGTTGGTTGGAACATGTGTTACGTATGCTGAACCATCATTTGCTGAAGAGAGTGCTGTTTTCCATGCCTAACTCAAGATGGCGTAAACAGAGAGGTGGCCAACCCTTGACCTGGCAGAGGAGTATGAAGGAGATCAGGAAACGCTTGGGTGCTGTCCGTGCTATTGCATTCCAGGATGGGGACCGCGTGAACCTTACTGTACCTGGTTGGAGACACTACAAGATATCGCTGTTAACCGATGTCATCGTCATCATCGACAGCATGATGTCGGTGGCGTTCTTGTTGTCAGTTTCTATCCAAATTACCTGAGTGAATGTCTGGAGGTGTAGGCACCTCGGAATGATTGTGGTAAGCCAGCACTAAGTCCCTTCCCCGCCCACCTTTACTCTTTTCTTTACAATAAGGCTTTCAAATAAATCATGGTTGTACGGCAGTGGAGCATCGGTGTTGAACACTGATGTCATGTTGTCGATGATGATGATGATGACCCCTTTAAGTGCCATGGTGTTTGGAAAAAAATTCACTTTAGTTCTGATCTAGAGTTGCACTCTTCTGATCGTATGTCCACTTCGTGTCACTGATCCGTGCATTTCCTTGGTCATTCGTTAACTTTTTTGTTGACTTTTAATTTTTCAATAATCGGGTTACCTTTTTGCCTGTAAACACCAATCCCTGACCACTTCTTATTTCCGCACACACTACAACCTGGATGACACATAATGACACCAGCGAAGCGGATAAATTCCAAGACGAATGAAAAGCAGAATATTCCAGACAGGAAAAAAACACTTAAAGACAACCCCAGAATCAACGGGGAAAATGCGAACCGATGATGAAGGGGAGGTCACCAATCACAGCACCAACGCGTGATTGCTCGAACCTCAATGGAAGAACTCAACCAGTCTATGATGCGAATCTACGTAGGGGTGCGTGACACCATGAAACCAAACATTATGGGCAGTTTGGAGAAGCTTCCTGACCGACACACTTGTGTGCTGGTCTTTAATCATTGGCTCAAATGACCATCTTTACACAGTTGTGTAGCGACTACAAGATAATTTGAGGACTGCGAGCTATAACCCTGACCAATGCCACTTCAGAAAATCTGATTATCTCATTTAGTTATCTAATAGGATGAGATTTCGTACCGACTGACAGAACTTTCATCTTCATTTTAAACCAGAATGGTGGATGCGCGGACGGGTATCGATCGGTCTCGTATCCCATCTGTGCTTCATCGACCATTTCGTTCAAGTTTCGGTTGGCCACTGAGTGCTCACTCGTCAGAAAGACTTCACTCTTGTAGTTGTGTGAGGTGTAAAAGTCATTTGCGACCTTCCATATTTCGGCATGGTGACCTGAGTTCAACAGCTGCACAAGACTACCCTCGCTTAGCAGATCCAGCGAATGAGAGAGAAGGCACTCCATCCAGAACGGGATTCGACGCTCTCGTGCTAAGTACGAATGAAATCGATGGCGGAAACAAGCCACGCAACAAAGGACCAATTAGGAAGCTGAGACATCAGACAGACAAGGTCACTTTGCAAGACCGGAGGTCACTGGTGCAGCCAGTAATTTGATTGGATGCGAAGTGCCGCAGCGTACGAAAGGAAGCTGTGGGTAGACGCTCGGTATTCGCACAATGGAATTGAATTTTCCAAAGCTACGACGTGTCTCTGATGGACTAAAAGAGATAGGCAATCGAGTTCAGAGTATGAGTCCAAACTTTTGATCCCCATTTACGCATCCCGGGGTCTCAGCAATGCTAGGGAAGTATTCCGTCAGACTTTTTCTTCCAGGGGTATGGTTGCTTCAGCGGACAATAAAATTTCGTGAGCTGCAAAAATATGACGGCAGATTAGGATTATTTTTGGTGTGAGCATATACGCGCCCAAATGCAACATTTAGGCGCAAAATGTTTAAATCCACTTTCAAAGGTATTGCAGCTAAGAGAATTGTGTAGCCAATGGGCCCAATGTGGGTACTGTAAGCCGAAGTGAGCATGGAACCGAGGTCTGAAACAGAATAATCAATAAAGTGGGCGTACGCTATCACATTCTTGGGAGACACGGTGTGGTTATTTTCAGTACTCCTTACATGAAGGCGGGACAGTTCGCTTTGTGAACAGAAAATTTTCCGTACTTCATTCTGCGCAGCATATTGTCCACGATGGCTCAACTGCTAATTTCACTGCAACCAATCAATCCATGATCGTTTTCTAGGCACGTGAAACACAGTTGTCTTTTCTTTCCCCAACTTGCATTTGAACGAGTACAATCTCTACACAGAGCGCTCTTTTCGAAGGCCGTTGTGTCAGCAGTATTCTAAATACGAGTTTAATAGATAGTGCACTTTTCAGCGAATCGAAAATTGGGAATTCGAGGTGTCTAGTTAAAATAGTGGGAAGTTGCCTGGGAAAGTGGAAAATAATGAAGTAATATTCATTTCCGTGATTTACCTGATATCTGATCTGATTTTGATGCGATCATTCACCTTGACGATCAGCCTTCTGCTGGTTTTAGAACAAACTGGGATCAATCAACCAATCAACCGGTTGTATTCCTTCGCTTCGAAGGCTGCAATTTGTTTTCCAGTGGAAAAGATAACTAGTTTTCTTCGACATCAGTCAGAAACTTACAATTATCAGTTATGAGCACCACCATTACTGTACCGCGAAGCAATCGGGTAAGCAAACCAGATTCAACTAACACTGCTCTGTGTGCACGGTCAGCCAAGACATATTACTTTCTGGAAACCTCTACGGTGCCATCCGAGAGTAAGAAGCTAGGCTCTCAACAGTAGATTATTAACAATAACTTCTCGACCAATCGCTTGGCCTCTTTTTAAGGGAATCAGGTCGTCTCACATGCATTTGAGAAGTGATTTTCCTTTAGAGTGACATATAGGGGGTCACATCCAGCTTAAATACTGCTCGGATATTCAATGGACAGAAAGCGTCGTCTCTGTTTCATGGAACTGCAATGGCTCACCTACCGCCGGACTACCCAAGCCTTGACAGGATCAATCGGAAAGTCAGGGTTGTATTAGAACCACCGACGTTCCTGTAACCAGTCCACGTCTTAAGCACTGAGCCACTCTAGGAGTGTAAACTTTTTGCAGCCACGTTAGCTGTTTGCAGGAGATGTCACTGATCGAACCCAGCCTTTCATGTCGCTTCTCTTTTTTTGCTCTAAACATCCGGAGTATTCTTTATAGGTTTACTTGACACTCAAGCTATTTGCCCATTCCCTATCACTACCTTATGATTACCTGCCTCTTTACTTTTATTTGACCCAATCCGGTGTAGCTGTGGTTGCGTATGCAGGGATTGAAAAACCTGACAGCTGTGTCACGGATAGGTGTTTGTCCTAAGGGGATATGAACTGTTTTGTCGTCACTAATCTTTTCAGCGTTGCAAGGCAGGTGCTATGTGCTAGGTGAGCAATCTTACTCTGTCTACTTGTAACATTCGCCCAGACAAACGGTGAAGTCGCATTATGCCCGATCGTTTCATTTGTGTGAACTGTCTCAAAGAGTAGATGATGGATAGTGGATAGAGACAGCAAGGCGATTCAATTATCGTCATGAAATTGCAGTTGAGAGGCGATTTAGAGACTTAGCGATGATTTAGCTATGTAAATAACTTGTTCCAAAGCTAGCTAATAAACCGGTAACTGATGAAATTCCGTCGTCTATTGACCGTGTGTATCAAGCTACACTACGGGCAGTTTTGTCGTATGGCTGTGAGATTTGGCCTATTCGAGTAGCGGAACAAAAAAGTCTTCAGGTGTTCGACAATCGTTGTCTCACAACCATAGCTCATGTGGGTTGCTGTCGGTGAATCCTTAACGAAGCAGTCAGAAAGCCCGCTTTCGGTTGTGCAACGGGTACTTCCATTGAAGAATGTCAAGCACCAGAAGCTGCGTTGGTTGGAACGTGTTACGTATGCCGAACCATCATTTGCTGAAGAGAGTGCTGTTTTCCATGCCTAACTCAAGGTGGCGTAAACAGAGAGGTGGCCAACCCTTGACCTACCAGAGGAGTATGAAGGAGATCACGAAACGCTTGGGTGCTGTCCGTGC